CATCTGCCTCTTAATTGCAACAGTGCTTTTTAATTTGATGACTGCACATGTGCAGGAATTCCCTGAGAAAGACTCTCTAATTATCTAGGCCTAATGACCTTAGAAGAGTCTCCTGTTTCCTTCAGACACAAGTTTTCTTGAAAAGAATGGGGCAAGGCTGATCTTGGAAACTTCTGAGTTCCATGGGAAGAAAAAGGAGAAGATAAAAGGAGCTGAAACAAAGGGAGATGTGTTGGAAGTAGGACACTCTAGTCCAAAAAGCTGGAACAGCTAATGATGATGATAAAAAGCCCTAGAATTCATTGTCTCTGAATGCAAAAGAGAAGACTAGGAAAGAATAAGATCATCCCTAAAAGATTAGGAATTAGACATCACAGAAGTTGAGGGGCAACTGAATCTAAACAACTGTAGCACAGGGATGTAAATATTTATAGCAAGTTGAAACATCCCAGTTGAATAGAAAAACCAAGAAAGATTCTTATCTGAAGTTAGAGAGTGTTATATTAGTGTGACTCTCTTGGAGTTGTTTTTTTTCCCCAACTACAATCACGAGATTGAAGAGCCTGTCATTGAAAATGAAACTCAGTTAATTAAACAGGATTATGAGATACAATTACCTACACTAGCTGGTGATCAGGAGACTTACAAGCCAAGGTATGATGAGCGTGGGTATGAGGAAGGAACCTTCCTTCCACTCCTCTCATGCCAAATGGAGCTTCCAACCCCAGAACTGCAGCCATGACCCATTTCTAGCAGCTGTATCTCTGCAGGAGCATCAAGCATCCAACTCAGGTCACTTTGCCACTAGCTCCTGGAGAAGCTCAACATGCAATGATCATCTGAAAGTGTCTACACAATTGTGTTTTGTTTTACTGAAAAGAACTGCATGTATGTGACTCTGCCTGTTTTGTATGGAACCATTTCTCAAAAGAGACTTTTTTTTTAATCAAGAACGTGGTGAGAGCCTGGCCCAGGTTGCCCAGGGAAGCTGTGGCTGCCCCATCCCTGGCAGTGTTGAAGGGCAGGTTGGATGGGGCTTGGAGCAGCCTGGGCTGGTGGAGGTGTCCCTGCCCATGCAGGGGGGTTGGGACTGGATGAGCTTTAAGGTCCCTCCAACCCAAACCATTCCATGGTCATAGAATCTTTGAATGGTTTGGGTTGGAAGGGACCTTGAAGATCATGTAGATCCAAGCCCCCTAGAATGGGTAACCAGAGTTTATTTTAAATATTTCCACTGCACCTTACTCTTAAGAATTCATGTGTCCAAGCTGAGAACCTCCAGCAGTAATAAGGATATTCTGGTGAGGAAGATAAAGAAGTGAATCTGATGGTCACAGATCTAGTAAGGACAAGCAACTGTTGCCTCACAAACCACTCTTAGCTAAAAGGCAAGACTTAAGACAAGCAGCAGATGACTTTTCAGTGAGAAATCAAAAATCCATTTATATTGGAAACCTAATTATCCGAGACTCTTGGCTGCTAAAAAAAAAAAAAACAAACAACAAAAACAACAGAAAAAAACACAACACAAAAACCCCACAACCCTGCAGGCCCCACTCCAGGATTTATTGCTGCCTCGAGTACCACATTTTTTCCTTTTCCAGCAAGGCAGCTGTTACATGCATGAAGTCAAAACCACCATCCACATTATTCAGACAAAGCTGCAGGTGGGATCTGAGACTTCCACCCACTGAACTTCTGCCAAGCTTCCCTCCTCCACCACTTTATTCTTCTCAAAATATTTGTTTTTTTTCATATGACTGCCTAAAACATGAGAGTGGAATTCACAATTTCAGCTCTGCTGATGACAGCCTGTTTCACTTGGTGCTTAATTTTGTCTCCAGCATTTGGAATTTTGAGACTCCACTCAGCATTTTGCAGGGACAAAGTTATTTTCCAGAAAGATCTTTTTCTTCCCAGTGTTTTCTAGCTGCATTAGGAGACAAGTTTGCTCTCTGTTTAATGACACTCACCTGCAGAAGACACTGTCTAAGCATTCACTAAAGAAAACAGGTTGGCAAAAACAAATGTAAGCCTGGGATGTTGATGAAGCAATAAAAACTCAATTAAACCTGCCCTGTGTGTCTACATGTAAAACATTAATATTATCTTCAAGCATCACCATGAGAAGGTGTCCTGGTTTGAGTCAGGATGAAGCTACTTTTCTTTTAACTGAAAAGTAAAAAGGAAACTGACTTCATCCTGGCTCAAACCAGGACACAAGGTGAGAGGAAACCAATTTTCCTTAAGAGAAGAAGAGCTGCAAGTGTTCAGCTCTTCCCAGAACTGCACACTTGAGACAGAATTTTTCCTCCAAACCCTTTGCAGAAAGCAGAGCTATAAAAGCCTGAGAACCTAGCAAAGAAACACAACAAAACCCAACAAAAACCACCCAAAACAAGTGGCTTTGTTTCAATACAGCACCAGACTCTGTCACTTGGAATGCACAAGATGGAAATGCTGGCTGCCTCCAGCAATCAATATGCTTTCAATCTCTGAGTCCAAGTTCCTACCCTATTCTTTAAATCACCCAGCTCATAAGCAGAGTATCTTCAGCACCAATTCCTTTCATGTCATGCCAGCTGGGTGACACAATGGAAAAATGCCATATGGCCACTTCATGAAAAGTAAAGCATTCCCAGTGTTTCCACAGCAGGAAAGAGTTAGCAGCCTGATATCAATCCTGCAGCAAACTAGTCCCACAGCAGGCCCAGGATCCCTCTGAAGAAAATCAGCAACACAGCCAAGGCATTTCAGGAAGAAAGTGCACAGAGGCAGGTGGCACTGGCACCTTCTCCTGCCTGCTTCCTGAAGAGAGAGCTGTAGCATCCTTCATGACAAGATAAACCCTCTAAAGAGCACCAGGGATCCCAGGAGACACAGAAAACTGGGAAATAAAGGCTGGCCCTCCACAACCTGCCATTTGATCCCACCCTGCTGGAAGGCTGAGAGCTGGGTGGTTCCAAGCATCCCAGTAGCACAGCAATAATGGCTCTGAACAAAAGGAGAATGAAGGAGTTCCCCAAACACTTGCTCACGCTTCAGCTGCAGGGCAGGTTATTAACTGCAACTTCTGAGCAGGAAAGAGGGACCCAACTTCTCTGGGAACTTAAGGAGCAATAGAATTACAGAACTGTCAGAGCTGGAAAGGACCTCTGAAGATCATCCAGTCCAACCCCCCTGCTCAAGCAGGATCACCCAGAGCACATCACCCAGGGCTGCATCCAGGGGGGTCTTGAGTATCTCCAGAGAAGGGGACTCCACACCCTCCCTGGGCAGCCTGTCCCAAGGCTCTGGCTCCCTCACAGTCAAGAAGTTTTTCCTCATCTTTCAATGGAACTTCCCATGTTCCAGTTTGTGCCCATGGCCCCTTGTCCTGTCACTGGGAACTACTGGGCTGAGTCTGGCTCCATCCTCCTGCACCCACCCTGAGATACTCACAGGCATAAATAAGGTCTCCCCTCAGCCTTCTCCTCTCCAGGCTCTCTCAGCCTTTCCTCATCAGGGAGATGCTCCAGTCACCCAGTCATCTTTGTTGCCCTCCCCTGGACTCTCTCCAGCAGTTCCCTGTTTCTCTTGAACTGGGGAGCCCAGAACTGGACCCAGTTCTCCAGAGGAGTCCTCACCAGGGCAGAGCAGAGGGGGACAGTGACCTCCCTTGACCTCCTGGCCACACTCTTCCTTATGCACCCCAGGATTCCATTGACCTTCTTGGCCACAAGGGCACTTTGCTGGCTCAGGAACATTTACTATCTACCAGGACCTCCTGATCCTTCTCCTCAGAACTGCTTCCCAGCAGGTCCACCCCTAACCTATATTGGTGCTTGGGGTTCTCCCTCCCAAGGTGCAGGATCCTACACTTGCCCTTGTTGAACCTCATGAGGTTCCTCCCTGCCCAGCTCTCCAGCCTGTCCAGGTCCATGGATGGCAGCACAGCCCTCTGGAGTGTCACCACCCCTTCCAAGTTTGGTACCATCAGCAAACTTGCTGATCCATCCAGCCTCTTCCATGCCCACAGGGAAGTTGCAGGAGAAGCACACACATCCATTTCCAAAAGTCCCAGTGGGTTCCTGTTGTGCTATGATTACACACATTTCCTCACTGGAAAGTGATTAACTAGGGAGTAGATTTTCTTAGTTATATTTAAGAGGAGGGAGAAAAGGACAAAGGGAAGGAATGACACCAGTTAGTGTAGGACTGCACATGCTTCACCCTGTCATTACAGAGTGGAAAACAGCCACAATGATTAAGTAACATTTACAGGAAGGGAAAAGACATGTCCCTGGCCCCAAGGAGGGAAGTACCCTGTGATGACCCATTTACTCCTCCTGCTCTTGTTCTACCCTCAAAGCACCTAATTCCAATCCTTTCCAAGTCAGCATTAACCACCCACAAACCTTCCTGAGCCCACACCCCCACCCCTTACCTCCAACTACAAAGCATCTAACCCATTAATTGGTCCTGGAGTTGCCTGCTCTAATCTCACAGCACTGGCATTGATCCAGAACTCCAACCCCATCCTCCCCTGGGCTGAAACCCCTCCACCACCCCTCCCAGGTGACCCCACCTTCACCTGCCTGCAGAACCAAAGCTGCAGCTTTTGTTTCAGAAACCCAAGGAGGAGCTGCCACTTTCATTACCCAACAGAACCTCCACACCATGGAGAGGGGGGAAAAAAAAACAAAACAGTAAAAGGAGATTTAACACAAAGAGATGACATGTGGCAGCCCCAGTTAAAATGACATTTTAGAAGAATTAGTCTTCCAAGAGCTTCTGAAAAGACCTGGAAGTGCTCCAAATACCACCACAGCACATGTCAGGCAAGACAAAAAGAGGGCCCTGGGAGGATATTTTGGAGAACACCATCCTCAGGATCCAGGTAAAAGCCAGGCAGCAGGTATGACTCATATTGCTGCTTGGCTGGTGAAAGGCTGAAGAGGAGTTTGCAAATTCTGTACATCAGCATGGATCACAAAGCTTTGCAGTTGAATTTCACTCACTGTGTATTCTGCATGTTTTTTCCCATACCATTTCATCCACTTTCTGAACTCTCTGTCCATCGTCTAGAGGAGGAAAGAAAAACAAAACCATCTATTAGGATTTATCAAGTTACCAGGAACAGGAGGTGCAGTTCTAACAGTGTTCATTGGCTCCCACCCACTTATTTTTTTGGTTGGTTTAGAATTTTTTGCCATTGACACTCAAAGGATAGGCAGGCAGAGAAGTATTGTGGTTTAATTTCCTTAAAAACACTTCTGCTTCACCAGCACCAAATCAAATCTGGCATCTTCTCTCCTCCCTTTTTGACCCAAGTGACATGTCACAAGCAAGACAATCTGAGTTGAGGCTGCTCAGCACCAAAAATGGCACAGCCTTAAGTAGCTACTTGTGGTGTGGTGCATAATCCCTGGGTGAGTAGGAGGCACTGGGGAGCCAGTCTGAACCCAGAGAGCAAAGGAACACACAGGATAGAGAGAGGTCAGCTGGGGTGAATGAAAATGCAGAAAGCAACAGGCAAAGCATCACAGGAGCATTGCTCCTGGCAGAGCAACCTGCTTCAAGCTACACCTGAACAGATCAGGGCTGCAGAGGATGGAGGCTGCTGCCAACCAAGCTGGTAGATGGCACCACTTTTTCATGGCCCAAATATAGGGGAAAAGAACCAAAAGTCCCATATGTCAAAATAGGTTGGTGTCTTACAACCATGTATCTCCACACTGCCCACAGGAAAGCTGGAAAGGGACTTAGGACAAGGGCTTGTAGCAAGAGGACAAAGGGTGAGAGATTAAAACTGGAAGAGGAAGATTAAGGTGAGACATGAGAATGAAATTATTGAGTGTGAGGGTGGTGAGACCCTGGAAGGTTAGAGAACCTTCCAGTGCCTGAAGGGGCTCCAGGAAAGCTGGGGAGGGACTTGGGACAAGGGCAGGGAGGGAGAGGACAAGGGGGGAGGGATGAAAACTGGCAGAGGGAGATTGAGGTGAGACATGAGGAGGGAATTGTGGAGTGTGAGGGTGGTGAGAGCCTGGCCCAGGTTGCCCAGGGAAGCTGTGGCTGCCCCATCCCTGGCAGTGTTGAATGGCAGGTTGGATGGGGCTTGGAGCAGCCTGGGCTGGTGGGAGGTGTCCCTGCCCATGCAGGGGGGTTGGGACTTTAAGGTCCCTTCCAACCCAAACCATTCCATGATTCACAAAATCTTGTCCCCATCTACATAAATGGACAATATCCAGCACAAGTCACTACTTTAGAGGGGCAGTGAAGGTCCACACCCCACCCAACACATTTGAAAATGAAATTCACATGTCTCGGAAGACTAAGAAAAACTCCTGATCTTTAAGATTTGACTCCACATATAAGAGGGCCCAAATTAGGAGGT